TATATATATATATATATATATATATATATATATGAATGTTTTTTGTGAAAAATATAATAATTATAAATAATAATAATAATAATAATGTGTATTTAAGTATATATATATGAATATTATATTATACCACTTGATATTTTTTCTTTTTTAAGTTTACATTTAAAATTTACTTAAAAATGTACCAAATATTGATTAATATATTTTTATTGTTATTATTATTGTTGCAAATACATTTTACCACTTGATATATTTTAACTTTTTTTTTTCTTTTGCTTAAAAAATGTACCAAAAGGCTAAGAAAAATGAACTTTTTATGTATATTATATGTATTATATGAAAACAACAGTTTGTTTACAGATAATATAGTTTATTCTAAGTAGGTTTGTCTTGTTTTAAAGAAAATTGATTACAATAATAAAAAAACAACAAGAAGACAAAATAACAATTAAGACAATAATTTCTTGCAGTGTAGTTTATACAGGGGCCCAAATGTAGCATGATGAAGCATGTAAAGCCGTAGCATTGGCATATGCAGTGGGCCGTCCCACGGCTTTATTGATGACCAGACACCTATAGCCTGTTTTTCGGTACGAATCAAGGTCACCACAAAACAAGCATTTTTTTTTCTCCGTGACTGTAGCCGAGGGCCAAATCATGCTACATTTCTTTCACGGATAAACACGGAAAACTGTATTTTCCTGCTCCCATCCATCTGGGAAACACGAGAGGTGCTGCGCGTCTGGCCCTGAGCTGCCGGCGCGACACTTGACGCGGGAAGCTGTGACAGATGCGCCCATCTGTGCGCGAGGAGGAGCCAGCATGAGCCACTCGCATGAACCAGTTTTACCCCCCATAAGCCCAGAGACCCTGAATGCTGCTTTACATTCAGTGCACCCATCTAGTTGGAAATGGGTAAACAAGGAGTCACCTTCAATTTGAAAAAATGCCAGCTGCCACATGGACGTGTGTCAGGTAGCGTGCTAACAGATAACACAAACCTGCCTCAGCATCCCATAGGTACCACAAAACTACAAATTAAGCTTGCCGTTACCTCCACATTCCACTCATTACGCCTATACGTGGCTCAAACACAATGCTTTTTTTGGACAATGTCGTGGAGGTCACATTCGGGTTATCATTGCGATCAGGTTCAGGTTTAACTGAAGGTTTAAGAACTCAATTTTGTTTAATGTTAAACTTTCACAATACAGCACACCTGCTTGATAGCAGGACTATGTCATCAAATCTATCCAGACAGCCGTCAGAGACATTTCCACAGACCAGTGATCTGTCTGACTACTGCTGTGTCTGTCATTATGCAGTGAAACACACATAACAGATTGATCTTTATTTGAGGGAAAATGTTTTAACTATGAAACTTCGAAACTGTTATGAGCCAAGCAATCCTCAAATTCAGCAAAAACATACTTCCACTGGCAAATGTCATAGGAGAAGTCTTCATTACCTGACCACTGGAGTCGCCAAATAGTTATAAATAAATAAATAAACAACTAAATAAAAAGATATATATATTAATAATTCTCAAATGCTGACCAGTTTGGTGATAACACCTTATAAAACGAGAGAGAGAAAGAAAGAAAGAAAGAAAGAAAGAAAGAAAGAAAGAATATATAAAAAAAATGTAAAAAGAATATATCACATAAAGATTTAATATTTATATAAAAATGTAATTAATGACATTTATGATTTTTACACTGTCAGTCTACTCCCAATACTACATTATGTGGAAAACACAGTATTTAAATAAAATCTGTGAATAAATTAAAAAGGGGGGGGGGGGGGGGGTGGGTTTTTTTTTT